GGGAGCCCCACCCCCTCCCCCCGGGAGGGGGGAGGGGAGTGGGGGGGGGTTTGGGTGGGAGCCACACCTCTCCCCTTCCCGGGAGGGAGTGGGGAGGGGGTTTGGGCAGGGAGCCCACCCCCCTCCCCTTCCCGGGAGGGGAGTGGGGGAGGGGGGTTTGGGCGGGAGCCCACACCCCACTCTCCCCCTTCCCGGGAGGGGAGTGGGGGAGGGGGGTTTGGGCGGGAGCCCACACCCCACTCTCCCCCTTCCCGGGAGGGGAGTGGGGGAGGGGGGTTTGGGCGGGAGCCCACACCCCACTCCGGGGTAATTTATTCATATATTCATATTTTTCTTACTCAAAAGAGCGCCGCATTACAATTTTTGCAAATTTTGTATACTCAAAAGAGCGCCGCATTGCCGTTTCTTAGATAATGGGGTATGTTAAAACCTCTCTTCTCAAATGAGCGCCGCACTGCCTTGTTCTTGAAAATGGTTTATTGTTAAAAGTTTTTATACTCGAAAGAGCGCCGCACTGCTTTTTTTCAATAAAGATGTTTCTTTAAACATGTACTCAGAAGAGCGCTGCACTACTGTGTTCTTGAAAATGGATTAATGGAGCATTATTAACATCTGTATTCTGAAAAGAGCAACGCACTGCCGTGTTCTAGAAAATGAAATAGGTTTTTATAGGGAGAGAATTTAAGGCTTGACAGCATTTGATTTCAAAGACGTTCCTGCTTGTTGGCTACTAAACGTTTATTTGTGCAAGTAACTACACAACTAGTTTATAGGATAAATATTGACAAGTAATACTAATTGCATAACATTAGAACTAACAATTATTATACCCTGTCGACAACAAAGAAAATATACCGTAAAATTCCGAAATTAAGTACCTGGGTTTATATTTTTCAGTCCCATTTGAGGGGATTATTTTCGGAGGAGCTTATATAAGGAAAGGAAATTCACGTCTCAAAACTTATCGCGCTGAGCGCGTAGATCGTACTAAAAGTCAGCCATGAAAGTACTTCAGGTACTTTGTGGAAATCCAAGCCAAGGGTTAAGAGTGGACTACGCAAACAGCAATATACTGTGACACCCGTAATAGCTCTCTGGCAAATGCAAAAATTCATATGTCACTGTACAAGTTTTTGCTTTGCTTGATTTTCAATTTGAGGGCAATAGGCAATTTTCACGATGATGATGTTTGACTGCAACTACCAGAATTCACTTCGTGTTTGCTTTCTTATTTAAATTTGTCAATCCCGCAGAGGTTTAAAGAACAATAACCTTAATTTGCACAAGAAAACAGAAAACTGAAGGATTCTGGTAGTTGTAGTAAAATGACGTCATCGTGCAATTGTCCTATTTCCAAGTACAGGCCCCGGGGGCTTATATTCGAGAGGCGATTTAACAGAGGGTTTTTTAGCGTTACGAGTTTGGGGGCTTATACTTGGAGGGACTTATTTTCGGAATTTTACGGTATTTACCACAACGAGTTTTTCATTCTAATAATTTACATGCGTGTTATCTCCTGTACATATATTTTCGTTACAATGGCGAAGCTAATGAAAACCACTATTCACCCACCCAAAATTCCTCCGGGGAGGGAATATATACTGCTCTTATCCCTGTTCCCTCCATTTTCACCAGCAGATGATAATGTAAGGAAGGTTATTGTCTTGACGAAGTTAATAAAATAAAATAAACCCCGGAAAAAACTTTTTTTTGTAGTGTTCTTATTGTCTTGATAATAAAATAAAATGCACCTTAATATCCCCCAACACTTTGCATAACCACTGTTTCCAATTTCTCCTGGGTATTACAGTGGTCCCAAGAAAAATCAAAGACAACCCTTATGCAAAATTTAAGGTCTACAAAAAAATTGTGAATTGGAAAAGAGTTCTCTAAAGTTTTTAACCCACAGAGAATATCACGTGATCTACAATGGGTTGTTATTAAACATAAGGAGCATACAAATTATAAAATAAAGTATATCAGAAATTACTGTCTTTTTATGGAATATTAATATCTATCTCAAATGTCACTGACTAACAATTCCCATTTGCAAAGGGGGAGGAGTTGTTTAACTTGGCAGGGTTGTGGGTTACCCATTGATATGCATATTAATAGCGTCTGGGCTAGGCTTATTTTCTTCAAGTAGCGACTACGTTTTCTCTGAAAAGGCAAAGAACTTGACAAATTTTTCCATTTACATGAAGAAATTACTAATAAGCTGCAAAAAAGTCATAACTTTGAGAAGAGAATACTCTCAGCTTCTTTCACTGGAACAAGTTTTCCATAACAACTTTTCCTTGGTGGTGTAAATGAATGTTGACAGTTTTTTTTTTCAAAGAAAAACCACCAAGTTCTCTTATTTATACGAGCAAGACTTCCAAGGAAAACTTGCTTCTGTATTCCTATGGATTTAGGTTCTGCCGAAGGAAGTGTTATTTTATACAATTAGCTGCCCTCTGCAAATGTTCAATGACAATACACAGAAAAACTGATTGAGAGAAAGCAATGCAAAAGAACAACAACTACTAAATGGTCACTAGACTTGTGAGATTATGAACAATTTGAGCTTAATCTAACTCTTTGGGTTTCCAATTAGACATATGGCTGAGAATGAGTGGCCAAAAACTGTTATGCAGGAAAGCAAGAAATACCCTTGATCCTTTAAAAGAAAAGGAGTATATTTCCAAATGACGGTATTTTTTTGCCTCAGCACCCGAGACAGCTTGTAGTGAATAAAATTATATGTAATAATATATAGATTTAGCCACGGCTAAAGGCAAAGTTCCCAATATTAAATTTATAATTATTTTTACTTTAAACAATAAACTTGTAACCTTTGCAAAGAAATCCACTTAGAGTTGAGCCATGTGGTATTGGTCAGCAGATACCCTGTTTTGACAACTGTCAACTGCCCACAACATTACATGGATGTGCAATATCGTGTTGCAAGCGCCCACACTAGCTAGAAAGTGACATTTCACCTTGGTTTTCCATAGTGTGGACAGAGGGAGGGAGGAATGGGTGATCATGTGACAACCAAAACTTCTCGGATAGATTGACAACTAAATTATCTTAGCTAAGGTAAATTCCTGCATTTGTCTTTTTCCAAGGCATTCTTCCCTTCCAGCATGGTGATTTTGTACCACTGTACCATATGACTGGTCTAGAGTATTCAATAAAAAATGGGTTTTGAAATTTACGTTGGGGACATAAATAACTCCCCTTCATCCCAGGGTGCAAAACTGGAAATTTAATTTGAGAGGGCCTCATTACTATTAAGGGATAATCTATTTTAAAAATGACTGGCACTGGAAAAATAAGAAAAAAATAGCAAATGGCAGACAAATGGAGAAAGTAGAAATACTATCATTGTCATATGGTCAGTCATATAGCACAAATGGCTGAACGCTTTTGTTTACCCACTACAATAATATTAATAGCAGAGTAAATTCAGACAATTGGTCACTTATGCTGTGCAGCTGCCAGGATGTAAAGAAAGTCAGTTTTACAGCCTGTTATTCGGGCAAGCTGTAGCTAGCAAGTACTAGCCCACCAGTCATTTCAACTAGCCCCAAAACCGTTTTTGATTAGCAGCAGGATTGATTACAATCCTTCTGTAATTTGAATTTGCCCAAAAAACAGCACTTGCCCGTCGGGCAAGTTAAGAACAAAAATCACTAGCCTGATAGCAAAATCCACTAGTCCCGGGTTATCGGACATGACTTTCTTTGCACGCTGAGCTGCAAACTTCAATAATTCAACTGAAAATCAACCCATTTATAATGTCCACTATCTTTGCTACTTTTTCTAGTTTTACTCTTTACCTGCTCAGCTCTTCTGTTACCAGCTAGTTCAAGGGCATGTTTGCATCATTATCATGCATGTAATAAAGTAGCCTCTTTGTCCTATACACTCTTTTACTAAAATATATTTCTCAAAATATCTTTAGTTAATAGCTGGTTTAGGTCATAGCCACTACTAAGTATCCCCCCCTCCCACCCAAAAAAAATGGAATTATAATGGCAACTATATCTTCAAATTTTAATTTGAAGTGCTACCATGATAGAAAAATCGATTCTCTTTTCTTTTAACTAGATTATTATTTTTTTGATTTCCCATGATTATTTGGTTTGACAGTGCGTCCATCATAAAATACATGTAATAATCTTCTGTTCCAGTTGAGTGGCAACAATAAAAATTGATTGAGAGTCACAATGATGTCATTTCATCAACAAATTAAAACTGACATGTACAAAATCATGGTTTGTACAACTTCAGACCAACAAATTTCATGGACTTTTTAAGGACACATAACAATTTTCTTTTAAACTATGGAGTAATTTATGATTTTTACTTCCTCAGTCTTACCACTTTCCGTGACAACACGACTGGGTATGACTTGAAGTTGCATCTTTGACAGAAATAGAATTTGAAATAAAGAAACAGATAGATTAAATAAAATATTGTTCATGCGCAAGAACTTTTCAACATCTAGATTACCTGTGGGTTGTACAGGTTCTTACACCAAGGATGAGCCAAATTTTCCTCTGTGAAATACAGGTAACCTAATTTGACAGAAAACAGTGTGGCAAGGTATTGAATTTTGAGGACTATTCAAGATCTAGTAAAGAAATCCAGTATTTTTCAAGGACCTTAAGCCAATTCAAGGACTTTTTAAGATGACAACTAAAATGCAAGACCTTTTCAAGCTTGTACAAACCATGTATGAATGCTGCTAACTTAACATAGGGTTTGAGAATTGGAAGAATTTGAATTTCTGGAAGCTCAACTGAAGCGTACTAAATAAGCAGCATTCATACACTAAAGTGCAATTCTCTGAAACAATCACTTTCATTCTTGATGCAACTCTTGCTGCCACTTGACTGACACAAAAGTTATTTCCGTAAATTAATGTGGACAGGCGAACCACAATCATTGTCAAAATAACATCCTTTTCTTTGAAATAACGACCTGAAATGGTTATTAAATAATTATTATTTCCCAAATGTACCTGCAGAGAAAAGAGAATTGACTCTGACCGTTATAGCACATTAAACATCCTTTGCTTTGTCATAAAATTAGTATGAAGCAAAGACAACCGATCCTTGAATGCAGCTTCTTTTATCATGACATTTCACCACCAGTGTGCAACCGCAGTCTGTAATCACAAACTTCCTTATTCTGTTGGATTCATGGTGCTGGGGAAAAAATAAACAACTATTCAGTCTACACCTGAACTGACATCGTTGTTGATATGATTTATCAATAGACACTTCCATGGTTTTATTTTAAACAAAAACAGTAAGTAAAAATCTTGGAAATAACCCCTTAACCCTATAACGAAAGCTTTAGTCATTATTATTTTTTGTTCCATATGGAACAATGCATAATTTCCTTCCTGGACCAATTTAGCTTTCAGTTTAAGCTATCAAGATGGTAAAAAACATCAGCAAAGATAGATCTTTCCACTAATACCTCGGTCTCGATATTCTGACCAATTCTGACAAACTTACACTTACTAAAAAAAGAAACATGTTGCGGCACCAGAGGGTTAAAATCAGTGAAGTGGACCAGTTTGAGAGGACTTGTTGAAAACTGACAAAGATTTAGCTCCATAGAGTCAGCACATATCAAATTTAAACTTGGTGAGTAGTGTTGATGAATATTAGCTTACTGGACATCAAAACTCGCAAAACTGTAGAATAGGGTCTACCTTGAGAATGTTTTATATGAAATTTTGAAACTGAGAAGTGGTCTGCAAACCAAGGCACAGCTTAGCTGTGCAATTTAAAGTGGTAAAATGCTTTGTTTATACTGCTCCAAGATAAAACAAATGAAAAGTATCATGTAAATTCCTCCTCAACAAGAAGAGGCTGGTATTATTCATTCACAAAAAATTAAACTTTTTAGAGCAATTTCCCCAATCAATTACAGTGAGAATAAAACTCACAAAAGGCAGGAGAATGAGCATGAGCTGTTGCAGCTAGATGCACATTATTTTGAAAGTTCCACAAACCTGGCTTTGAGAAATCAACACAACACAGTGAATTTTGTCTTTTTCCTGTGTCTTTCCCTTTACTAACATTGCCACAGCAGTTACAAACATGGGAAACAAAGATTTAGATAAAAAGCAGCTGAGGATAAGCAGCTCTGGCACCGACACGGATTCCATTGAAGCAGCCCAAGATGGCGACTACCAGTACATTAAAATGATGCTAATAGAATATCACAGTCTCATACTAAGGCTTACAGCTATCAAAGATGATACTAAAATTTGAGAGGAAGGAATTTTTAGCCTGGAAGCTAGACTGAATGAAGCTCAAGTGGAAATACAAGCCCTAAAAAAAACCTGTGAAGTAAATAAGACAGTGAATGACACGAGGGGTTTTCAATAATAATTGACGTAGCAAGCAGGTTTGAATAGAGTAACCGACTGTATCAACAAGGGGCCGATAATCTCGTACCTCTAGGGGAGTCTGGGGGTGAGGCATTCTCCATAAATTGACAGAAAATTTTGAAATTTTAAAGCCCTAAAATGCGATTTCCAACGTTCTGGGCCCAGTTGTTCGAAGGCCGATTAGCGCTTAACCCGAGGTTAAATTTAACCCGGGTTTCATTTTATTGTGTTCAAACGCATTTTCTCGGATAATTATCTCTGTTCTTTTTAAAGCTTCCAATAATCAACTTGTAGACAAAAAGAATTAAAACTGAAATTATTCTTAAGCTTTCATATCTGAACTTAAATCTTGCACTAACCCTGGGTTACCTTAACCCAGCTTTGAACAACTCAGTCCTGGGGACTAAATTGAATACAAAAGAGTGTGCTTGTCCCTGAATCAACAAAATGTAGCTTTTATTCAAGTTCCAATTTATCTGCCACACAATCAACTCTTACAAGCAATGAACAAATGACGATAATTAAAATTATGTACATTTGCGAGAGAAGAAATTCCAAACATCCAAAGAAACATGTGAAAAATTGACTGAAACACATACAGCGTTTGCAAACTAAAACATAACTCAAAACCAGTGAGCCTTTACCTTTTCATTCAGTGTCAATAATATATGTTTTGTTTACAAAACACTGCGAGAGCTAGTTGCTTTTTCTTTCAGGGAGAAAAGTAGCCGACTTCTCTGAGCAAAGAAACCAACGCATTTCATCAGTCGTCAGTGCTTATTGAAACCCTTGAAACACCAAACATTCCCTTGAGTACACCCAAGGTGAACATGATGACCTAGTAGAACGTGTTGCAAACTGTGAAAACAAGCAGTCCACTTGTTGGGATATGAACTGACTCATTTAAACATCTATAGCCTTCTAGTCGTTGAAGAAATCTAATTTTCTACAGTCAATGAGGCAGTGGTTTCATTAAGAATTGCATTAGCAGGAGAATAGTGTAAATTAACAGGAGAATATTTGAAAGAGCAAAGAACTTTCCCACAAAGAGCTTGAAAACAAGTCTGGAAATTTTGCATTTCAAACCCTGCTGAGTCTGATAGCAAATTTTATTTCTCGTAGCTGCCGAACAAAAAACACTGCATACCTCTACATGTTTTAGAAGTCATCATTAAAATGGACAAATCTCAAAATTTGTATTTGTTTCATAATAATTTTATACATGGTAAACATAGCCAAATTTATTTCCATAGCAGTTCACAAAGAAATCGTTCTTTTTATTCATAAACTTAAGTTAGTTGATTCTTACCGTTTAAACTTTTCTTGTTGTAACTTTGCCCCTAAGATTTTTTCATCATGTACTTTTTTGTTTCACGTTTTGTTTCATTAGTATTTATTCATTTAATAATTTTTTGCGTGCAAATAAAAAAGTGTTGAGCATACAGTCTACTGTCCACGCTTCAGAAGACCGTTTCATATTTGACACATTCTCCGTTAGTTTTGATGGGCTTAAAACCGCTAGCATTTAGATAAGGTCTTTTACGTATTTTGTTATTTATTTAGGAATGTAGAGCAAGTGGCTAAGCTCTAAAATTATGCATTTCTGGGAATAATTTTTTTTAACAAATATATCCACGTCTGATTTGTCTAAATAAAAACCTAGCTATACTTCATCGAAATTTAGCTGGAGAATTCTCCGATCTCCGATGCTTAATGAAAGCCCTGGGCAAAATACAGTTATAAGCTTAATCAACAAAGTAAACAACTTATCTTCTTCATAAAGCCAGTGAATGTCCTGATAATTAAATTAACCTTGCAGCATTTAAGGCCCAGATCTGTTTTCCAGCTGGAGTTTTCAATGTTTCTATCCATGAATGCTAGTTAAAGTTTCTTGCATTTTCTCAATGTACAGACAGGCTTGACAAATGGTTTCGAGTTTAGTCACTCTTTTGCATCTACCCAAAGTAAAGATGGTATGATTCGCTTTTATTTTTGCAACAGCATTTTGTGGCAACTCTCCCGCAGTGGCAGAAATTACTAAGTTGTGTGTGGAACTAGTGAAGTACACTTGTAAGAAGGGCTGTGAGAGGAGGCTGTGGCTTTTGCAACATCAGCCTGTGGTTTGCATCAGCATGGTTTTCGGTGGGGACTGTCATGTGAGACTCTACTCATCACCGTCATGTACGAATAGGCATTAGTCCTAAATGTCCATGGTTAAGTCAATGCTGTATTTCTAGACTTCACGAAAGCTTTTGATTCATAAATGGCTTTTACTTAAGCCTGACTACTACGGAATTTCCAATAAGGCCAACATCTGGATTCAAAGCTTTCTAACTGGGTGTAGCCAACGAGTTGTGGTTAATGGTTCTGCTTCTTCGTGGTCGCCTATAGTTTCCGGGGTGCCTCAGGGAACCATATTTGGGTTCCATTCTTCTTTGATGTTTATTAACAATCTACCTACTAATATCACATCTAGCATTAAGCTCTTCGCTGACAACTGTGTTCTTTACCGGCTCTGCAACCACGGACAAAACCGGTGAGTACAACAAAATGTTTCTGTAACATAAGTGAGACAACTTTAACATTGCTGAGTATTCTTGGCTTTTTATTATTATTTTGTTGGTGAGCAGATGTGGTGTTTTATCCATACTCAAAATATTCGTTGGTGTTCTTGTGTAAGCGTAAAATCCAGCAATTTGGCGTGGATTTGTAAAGACATGTGCGTGGCGAGTTCAATAATAAAATATTCGCAAAGACACTTTTTTACAGCAAAAATCTTTCAAGACATAAAAGAACAAAAGAAAGAATTTATAATCACTAGACAAAGAAGTAGCCTGCAAAAAAATCTGTTTCTCCTCGCTCTCCACCGCTGGGGATGTTTCGCGAGGAGGAACGTCTGCGACTTAGCAACGGAAATTCCATACTGATGACGTGAAATCTGTCTGGAATCCGGTCAGAAGCGCTGATTGGTTGACGGAGTAGTTACATTGTTTTAGCTATTGTTTACGAATGACAGACAAAAGACAAAAGGCCACAAAGGTCAAATGTAAACGCGAAGAATCTCTAACAAAACAGTCAATATTTGTGGAATATGGTCTTCTCTAGAAGACGCATTTGAGTCTTGCTGGAGCTCGTTGGCAAATGAACACAACACTTCACCAAAATCGACCAGAAGACACGTAAAATTGGACAAATTTATATTTGGAACCCCATGACTACCGGACTTATTATGTAAACATTGATTTGCGTCATCAGTATGGAATTTATGTTGCTCAGTTGCAGACGTTCCTCCTCGCGAAACGTCCCCAGTGGCGAAGAGCGAGGAGAAACGGATGTTTTCTCAGGCTAACAAAGAAGGTGCCTTTACAGCTTGCAATTAGTCGCTTCAAATCTCGCCTGCACACATAGCTTGTTTGTGGTGCCATTGAGTCGAGCTGATTTTAATCGTTTAACCCTTTATCTGAAAGGTCATGACTCACGCATTATAATTATTTATTTGATGGAAATATAATCTTTGGTCTTTATTATATTTCACCCACATGTTCATTTTAACAGAAGTATACAATACAAAAAACTGTGAGGCGATGAACTTATTTTTAGCATTATTTACAGTAGCTAACTTGTTTAGAGGAGAGCACCATTTTTATAGTGACAGATTCTGTCAAATGGAAGTTTTGCAAAAGGCATTGAGCTGTTATTGGTGGTCTGACTATAAGTGATAGTATAAATGTAATTAAGTTACGAAAGTGGACATAGTTAATGTCAAAGCACAATTAAAATTGTATCTTCTACACGTACTTGTCATGTTTGAACAAACTATGGCAGTGTTTCCTTACTTCAACATGAAAAAAGCATGCACAACTGCTTTAGAGAAAAAAATGTATCTTGACTTTTTTCAGCTAAAAAGTTCAACATAAACCCAGGGTTTGTACACTTTTCCTGCTGTAAAATTCATGGACTTTTCAAGGACCACATTTTTAAATTTCAAGGACCTTATTTATTACTTTTAACACAGGTTCCATATAAACTATAAAAATATTCTGATAATAATGGGCCTTTTTTCTTAATGGCAACCATTTTTATGAAAATTTGTCTGTGAGTACTTATCAAAGAATTACCTTCCACAATGAACAAGACAATAATAGTGACGATGCTTCTTATCAAATGTTCTTCGATAAAATTCAAGGACATTCAAGGCCTTGAAAGAGGACTCTTAAAATTCAAGGGTTTTTATGGGTTTTCAAGACACATACAAGCCCTGTAAACCAACAGAGGGAAACTAGGACTAGAGCTTGTAAATATTTTGGCATCAATCTCTGTAAATGAGCTAGATTTCAGAAACGTCTGCCAACATATAATTATAATGAGTAAACTTTTCTTGCTTGTGTAAAGTTTACTCACCTCTCAAGGCCCACCAATGCGCTGCTCTGATTGGTTAAGACAGGGGAAACTTTTCCCTCAATGGTAACAGTTTTCACTACGTAATGAGTTTGGCACAGTACGCAATGCTTTTAAAATGTGTTTCAAGAATTTACACCTAACATCCAGTGACTGGGTCCCTCAAACAGTCCCAGGAATAAGAAGATAAAATCAATTCAATAAAAAAACTCATTCTTTAAATTGCATAAAACACACAGACAAAACAAATACGGCTGGTTCATTCCAACAAACAAGAAGACGCCCGAAGGCGCTTACGCGAGATGTGTGGGTTTAAGAAAGAATTACGGGTATGTTGGATGGAAATGGAAGTTGAGTCGTGTATGCAACAAATGTGTGAAGGAGAGACGGAGATGTTCTGTTAAGGACTAATACACTAGAAGATGAGTTACACACAAGGGTTCCTTTGCTACTCAAAACAAAACTTACATCAATATTACCACCATATATGTTAGGAGTATGGGGTAGTTCACTAAAATTTGCATTCCCTTACTAATGTCCTCAAAAAATGCACTCCCACATTTAACAATAGCATGTAATGTATAATACTTCCAATAACTACAGGGCTGCAAGGAAGTGCTCTAGGGAAAATTTCAGAGAGCCCTTTGGGCTCCCCAAGCATTTTTAGCTGGGGTACCCGGGCCTCTAAGTTGGTCGCCCAAATTAATAAATCAATGATCTGTTAGTTAATCATTAAACATTAAACAAATTATTTTCTTAACAAGTCAAGCAGAATTTTGTGAATATTTTTTTCATGAAAAATTACATCCCTTTGACCTCCTGAGCGTGCGAAGAAAAAAAACCCGCATGTTGTCATATGAAAGTAAGTTTTCGCGCCATATGAGAAACATGGACAACGCCGCCGAACATTTCACGTTTTTTAAATGGAAAAATAAATTTGGGGTCAAAAATAAGGGCACTATTCTTTTTACTAATCATTTTGATTTAGGTCAGGAGCTCCTGTTTAGGTTGAAAAGAAAATTCGCTTGTTAAGATTGACTGAGAACCCGTGGAGCTTTCCAGGAAAACTGTTATGATTTCAACAAAACCGCGGCGCCCCCCCCCCCGGGGGGGGGTTAGTTACGTTAATTTTTGCTGGGTATGTGCCGCTGGCCTCTCAGAACCCCTACCCCATTATAGTCTTTTCTGTGGCCAATATTGTAGACCCCATATTAGTCACTCTTGGGGAAATATGTAATTTTTGCGATCCCAAGTTAGTCACTTTCTATTTATGTATCTACCTTATCAATCCGTTAAATAGGTCATCAAGAAATGAATTGACCTATTTTTTTTAATAAATTGAATGAAGAACACTTTACTTTTCACCTACAGTACAAATATCCTGATAGGTTTGCTAACCGTAAATATGAACAGCTCTCTTACCCCAAAAATCCGAAAATGTGCGACCCCATTCTGGTAACTCTTTTGAAAATGCAACCCCATTAATGTTCAATCTAGTCGTGAAAATGCGACCCCATCCAGCGGCACATCCCCATTAGCCTCTTTATAAGGAAGTGCCCCCCCCCCGCCCCCCACCGGGGCCGCCCCAAAAATATTATCTGTTTTGAATAGATCATCTTGTTGTTAAGTCGTCTCTTAAGCGCAAAACAGAAGTATTTTCTTTCTATATTACCGGTGAAATGTTCAAGACAAATGTAGATTCGGTTAGCTTTTGCGTATTTATTTTTAGTACGTTATACGTAATGCCTTGTCACGACACGAAAGACAATGCGGGATTTTATAGATTTATACCCCCTTTATACCCGATTCTAGAACAATCACAATTTGAATTATAATAGTCGTCTCTTTTCTTTTTTATGCATCGTAATTTACTGGAATAACAATCTTAGTTATGTTTTATCCTCGCAGACACAGCAGTCAAAAAAGGTAAAAATATTTAAAGAACATAGACGACCGACTGCCTTGTTTATTCAGCGATTTTTCAAAATACAAAACTATTGTTTTGCGTCGCCGACCATACTTCACGCCTGTCAGAGCAAAAGTAACAACTTGTTTTGAAAAACTAACTAATGAACAATCCTAATTTGAAGAAAAAATTTCAATGTTACTATGAAAAGCTGTTACTATCGAACACTGTGCAGCTTGTCACGTTCATAGTCAAGGATTATGTTACATGTGAATTCACGTGAAACGACCTTTGAACATCAACGCGTGCCCGCTGCCCGATTTAACAACATTTTCCTAAAGCTTTTTGATAGACATGCTACTTATTGCTACCCGGGATTGCTAGTTACAGAGTCGACCTCAGAGGAGCGTTCTTTGTAGGCTGCGAAGCCACCGAGAGAGCTACGATTTCGCAAGTAATAAATTCTAGACATTCTTAGCTTTTTGACTGTAACTCCCGGGGGGGGGGGGCACTTGGGTATTTTTTGGGTGGGTATGTGCCGCCCGGGAATCCAAATTGGCACCCCGTTCTAAAAAAAAATTTTCCCTAAAATTGATACCCCGTTCTAGAAATGGGCCAATTTTTTACACCCCGTTCTAGAATTCGCCCTAAAACTGATACCCCGTTCTAGAAATGGGCCAATTGTTTATACTCCGTTCTAGAAAGTTTGTAAATTGAAATAGCCCTGTATTTTAAAAAGATATTTCTTTATTTGTTCGACTTATACATCAAATAAATGCTTCTTCATAATCAGCAACAATTTTAAGCAGAAGATAAAGCCGCGATCCACAATTTTTTACACCCCGTTCTAGAAAACGCCTCTGAAATGGATACCCCGTTCTTAATCAGGAGCTTCAAAATCACGACCCCGTTGGGCGGCACATACCCGTATAGGTAATGTATGGGAGTACCCCCCCGGGGCTGTAACTCAAGAGAAACAAGAAACCAACACCAGCAAGTCGCCCGGCTGGGCCACCTAGACAATATTTTCAGTCGCCCGAGGCCAAGTCTTGCGCCGTATTAAGAGCACGGCCTTGAGCCTTCGTCCTCCTCTGCACAGTGAGCTTACTATTCCCTCCTTTGCTGACGCAGTATGTTTTATCGGCTTGTGCAATCCAGCCTGACTTGCACGTGCTTCGACGTTGGGGCCAATAAAAATCCACACAATTTTTCGGGACGGGCACGGGATACGGGAAAGTTAAAAAAACAAGGCAATTTTTGACTCCCAAGACGACGAAAGGAATGCGCTACCGAATTTTAGACGCTGGCTGACTACGTCATCCCGCGTAATTAAAAAATAATTATATTCAGACCTGTGTTGTGATCACTGTCTGTCAACTTGGACCAATGCACACTCAAGCTCTGGGTTATACCAACATTGTTTTTCTCCGATTTCCTTTTTCCTCAGCGATAGCAAGAAAAAGGAATTTCCAGTGATGACATTTTTTCCCTACAAACAATACCAGATTAGCCTATATAGACAAAATGCTGGCTGCTGCTCAAAATAGCCTTTTATTCAATTTCATCAGTGCTCTAAGTGCAAGTTAATTTTTCAGCAAAATCCTGAAGAAAAGCACTTGAAAAAAACCTACTTTCTCATTTCCCTTCTTTTCTGGGATGTTCATAATATACATGTACAGTTACAGCTATTAATGACCTGAGAAGAATATTATATTGTATTGCACAACAAAAAAGAAAGTAAATGAAATGTTAATGACATAAAACTAAAATAAGACACTCTTTGGTCTTCCAAAAGTGGAATTGCATGAAGTAAGAAATGGAAATTGTTAAACAGCTGCTCTTTGCGAATCTTTTCACTTTGTCATTTAAGGTGGCTGAACACAGTTTTGGCAGTTTGTGAGTGTATGTCATTTGCCAAATCATTGCAAGAGAAAGGTTGCAGCTCACAAGCTGAAACTTGGCAGGTGAAAAATATACTGATGAAAGATTGTGATTGACAGGTAAAATTTGACGTTTTCGTAGTTTCCATGGCAACATGAACGATTGAATACAACCTTAAAATTTCACTTTTGTTCAGTTTACATAAAATTCGCTCATTAGATTTTCCTATAAACTTGCACGCAGCTTACTGTAACTAATCATTACCATTTGAAACTTATTTGATCAAATTTTAACAGACGGACTTTTAGATAATCAATAATATAATTGTACAGTAATTATTAAATGTGTCACGAAATTCGTCTGGTCAACTTCCATTTTAAAGTTTTCATTATCTAAAATACGATAAAAGTAAAAATTCTGCCAAATATCACAAAATTTTAATGAGTAGATTTTGAGAAATCGTCTTCTGTGTATCATTGCTTTTTCGCCGTCATGTTTGTTTGTCTAATTAAAAACACGCGCGGTCACGCGAGTTACCGCTGACCGCCCACAAAACTGTGTTCAGCCACCTTAACCATACTGAATCCTAATTTTTGAAGGTTTTTTTCATTAGAAGGAAGTGACCATCAGGCAAATCCTACTGGAGAGTTATACCTGTATGTCCTTCGATGACACTGACCTCACTTTCACAAATGGGGCTGATATGTCCTCCAATAGCTGTTCCACCTGTAAAAGAAGTGAGACAAAGATGGAGCGTAAGCATTCTCATCCAACCTTTAGTTCTCAGCTGTGGATTGCTGTAGATCACGAACACTATCAATGAATCAAAATCGTGTCATAAAGAGACAACGGTTTGACTGAATTCTTTGCAAGCCTAACGAGGTGAATGAAAAAAGCGACTTACCTTATAAGGCCAGGAAAACTGACTGACTACGGTTTTCATGTTCATTTAAAATTCTTAATGAACACTTGTATAAACCGCATGAAGCAAAAGAATGAAAACAGCAGAAATATTTCTTGTTGATAATATTCATTAAAATCTTTGGGCATTCATTGTTTACATATGTTCTGTGTTTGTGTTTATTTGAAACCAATACCGTCAAAGATTAAGAAATTTCAGAGTTATAACACTCATGCTAGATAAAAATACAATATAATTCAACTGTAGCCTTGTCTATTTATACATCATCAATTTACTCTCCTCTTCTCCAATGATCTTGACGTTCATTAAATAGTCTCCCACACTTAAATTTTTCAGCTCCGTGACCACACTAAAATTTAATATCAGAAGCCCTGATACTGTGATCTGCAACATTTACATTATCCAGACGGGCAACTAAAAATTTGCATCTGGCGACGATATTATTGTCCAAAGTTGATTGCCAAAAGGCGACCTGAGGATTTTTTTTAATTTCGAGCCCCGGGGCAGCAATTCACTTCCAATATGGAACTGTTAATTATTATTATTATAATATTATTTATACACCGAACTTGGGTGCCCTGTGGTATACTTTCACTAGTAAACCTTAACACTTACAAACGTCTCTGCTACTCTTCAATTTCCGCCATACTGGATTAATAATTGTGCAATGATCCAAAATGGCTAAAATGGCTCCAGACCTGTCATGGACATTATTCAAACCACAATACGCGCAAGGTGTCCAGGGCTGTCATTAAGAGCAGGATGCCGGCGATTTCCCCCGGCTACTATGAGTGTGGTCCCCGGCTACTTTTATTGGAAAATAGAAGAAAAATAGAACCGAAAGAAATTCCTTGCTGTTTGATTCCCCGCCTACTTGTTGTATTTACCCGGCAACTTGAAATTTTAGTGACAACCCTGGTGTCTCTCTTGAAAATAACCCCTTTTGAGCACGTGTGGTGGTCACAGCAAGAAAGCTGAATAAATTTACCTTAAGAGGTTGGAAACCACTTCCAGTTCTATAAAATAGGTGAGTTACAGTATTTTCTCTCAGGACATTGGTTTCTCACTTTCTTATGGAATTTAAACAGTTTAGTTCTTTTAGTTAAAGAACTTCACTATGTATCTTTCCCAGAAAATGATATATTTATTTCTTAAAGCAATCTGCATTTTGTCTTGTTTCAATTTTGGAACCTTGCAAAGGCTGGTTTTTTGCCTTTTTCTCCGGTGTCCTTGACTGAATTGTGCTCATTCTGGTATGGTTTAAAAGATCTCTTCACTCTGTACACATCAGCGGACAAAGTTGTCCTTGAACATTAAAACTGATGACGTCACAAGCAGTAGAAGGGACGAGGATCTGCACGGGCGGCTCAGGGGCGAATGGGTTAAATACCATTTTGTACATCAAAGTAAGTTTATGAATTTTTCCTCTAACACTAAGTTCAAGCCAAGAATGATCTTTTAATAGAGATACCCTGTTTGTCCCTTTTAAAGCACTGGTTACAACCCTTGCGCCCTCTATTTGTAAGCTTACTAACAAATTACTATCAGATTCAGAACATCCATCCCAAACCACATCAGCATATTCCAAGGATGAACGCACCAAGGATGATTACATGTCTAATGCACTAGTCACACCCAAACCCCCGGGGAATAATGGGAAATTTACAAAAGTACTCTAGTAATTTAAAGGATTTACCCCTGTTACGAAAAATTGTCTTGTGTGACTAGCGTGACCTTCTAGAAGCTTTGCGAGAGTTCATAGTTTGTTTATTTTAGGATCTTGTGTAAGCATTTCTAAAGCGGTATATTTTGTAATCTTTCTATAATTAGAGTATTTGGAAAGTTCTAGAATCTTATTGTAAAAGTATATAAGTAGGAGAGTCCGAGTTAATTTTAAACTAGTTTTCACAAGCGAAGAGAGTTTGACGTTGGTCATGTTTAGACAAGTGTGACGAAAGTAGTGTTTATTCAAGTTGGCGGAGGCCATGTAAGTTTATCAAGTTAAGTGCATTTGGCAGAGGCCGTGTAAGTTTATCGAGTTACGTGCTGTTGTGGAGTTCTACTTCATGGAAACTACGTTCATTTTTGGAATAAGTCTTCTTGTTGCTGTTCCAACAACCCTGCGTTCAGTTTAGTTTGCAAGCTACCCGTCCTCTAAAAGATTACCTGCGTAACAACCCTATACCCTAGGGAAAGATTCACATGGTAACTACCCCTCCTTAATAAGCTGTCTGTCAACAACTGCTATTCAAGTTTAACAAGTGACTCACTTTAAATGGTCAAATATTTGAATTGAGTCATGCATCATATCACTCCTCCATATAAAAACCAAAACTGAACTGACACATTTTAAAAACTTTCAGATACTGATCAAAATGAGTTCATCAATGTATGACAAAGATTCATGTAATGGTCTTCAAATCATAGGTTCAAAAAGTTAGTTTTATACATAGTGTTCTAAATGTTCAAAACCAAATTATTGTTAATTTTGCCAGCGTCATACACCTTTTTGGACAAACACATAATGCGTGTGCATTTGTATTTTTACAAATGCTAGGACCGAAACAGCCATATCATAAAAAGCATAGCCCAGAGAAGGTTGGGTGGCACTTGGCAAAGGATCAGTCATGGGGCAAACTATTCAGGAGCTCGGTACTCTGTGATCCACGTCTTTTCGCCACTGTTAGCTATAATCATGCTAAAATTCAGAATAGTTTTGAATAAAACAAATTTATCGTATCCAAATCGATAATTTTTCACGAGGGAGTGACTGATGAACTGCCTTTCAAACTTTGCTAGTTTGCGTTGACAGTTAGCTGGGTCACAGCCTTCATGAAGGCTTGTATAATAATCTAATAGAATCCAGAAGCATGGCTTATTGCCTTGCATTGCTCAATGCTTTAAGTCTTGTTTAATTTTCATTTTACGTGGTAGCTTTGTTTGTACAAATTTTCTTAAAGTTCAGCTTAGAAATAAACTCTCTCTTTCTTGTACTCAAACGGGTATTGCGCAGGCGCGCGTTACAAATCCAATATGGCGGACAGAAGTGGCAACTTTCTGTTGAAAGGACTTGGTATGCATAAGCTTGAGTAGAAATAAAAAATAAAAACCAGAAAGCAAGCCCATTTTTGCTTACAGTTATAATATAACAAAATACAGTAGTCAGCACCAAGTCTATTAAAACTTACATCGTGTTTTCACGCCAGAACCTCACGTGCATCGTTCTCCCATTATTGAATTCTTGCTTGTTCTTCGAGAACTCTGGCCTTTTCTTCAACTTCAATCAACCGCATAAATGGTCAGGTATTCTTAAATGCTTTTCTCTCGAGAAAGATGTGTTTTCCTTTCCAGCAAACCAATGAATCGGGAGTTAAATCTCCTCTCTAGCTTGCTCAACATTCATGGTCGGTCATTCGTGCTGGGCGAACGCTCGAAAGAGGTAGACTGGTTTCCATTACATACGCTGATTGGAGAATCTTGATCACATGGTCGTAGCGCGCGGAAAATGAAAACGAAAAGTAAGGGGCGCGATCCATTCAACCAAACTTTCCGGAAATTTCGGTCCAAAACTCAATGGATCGGTTCGGTCCAACCGGAAAAGTTTCGAAAGAACGGGTCCACCTTTTGAGGTGGTCCTCTTTTCCCGGTCGGACCGGTTGGAATTTTGGTTGAATGGATCGCGCCCCTTGGTAGTGGGTTTAATTACCTCTATTAAATATTTCTAACACTTTACGTTTTGAATGACCGTCTATTTCACTTCAACTGAAAAAATATTAAGGAAAAAATCATTTTAAATGCCAAAATTTAATCTGTTTATCTTTAATACATCAGATATGCTAATTTATTTATCCAAACAAAGTAAATTCGCCACCAATTCTCCAATTTTTCCTTCATTTTCACTTTTTTAGGTAACGTGACATGAAACGGTACCGGCTTCCAGGAGAAGGCACACGCTTTCACGAACGAACACTAGTTTTCGTAGCTTTCACAGTAGCTGGTTAGGGATGCACCATTAGAAATGTGAAGGGGGGGGGAGTCCAAAAACAAAAAAAAAAATCCTGCAAAACAAAATTTTAAGAAAAAAAAATCCTGCATTGCAACGAAACCAGAAAAAAATATCCTGCTTGGATAACCAATGTGACTGCGACAATATATTACACAGTCTGAAAAATAAATCTGTGATCTGTAACAGGAAATCCCCTTCCCCCAACTTCCTAAATTCATGTCAAACTACATTTCAGGCAGAAAAAACAATTTCTACTGGCTAAATAGAGATTTCAATTTGAACCAACTCTGATGCCCTTGATCTCTATAGCTGCCATAGTATTAAATTAAGAGACTGTGGTGATAATTGTTTAACTTTATAAATTAAATAAACTTTTTTATTGAAATACTTTTGTTTTAATGGGATTAAAGTGAGATTGTGTTAACAACGTCAATAGTTCCACTTGCACGCAAGTTTATGGAGTTGGTGTTGTACAATATGCGTTGCTACTTGAATCCATAAAGTTTACAGCTATAAACAAAAGTAGATGTCCCAAAAACACCAATCACACTGCAGATCCCGCTGCATTTAAAAGTATTAAGAATATTATTTACCCAAACTAACACAAAATATTTTGAATGCTTTGCAAAACCATAAATAGAAATGGTGCATTCTAATAAAAACTTGAACCTAAACATATGGGCCACAGACATATGGTAGGATTTAGAGGAAATGTTCTTCAAGTTCTTCCTCTGTATCCCAGTCCTCGCCTGATGAAGACTGACATGCTGGCTGCAGTTTTACTTCTTCTTTTTCTTCTTCTTCTTCTTCTTCCTTTTCTTTCTGTTTTTCTGTCTCTTGTCTTCCCTCAGGTTCTTTCTCTGTGTTCCAGTCCTTGCATGATAAGGACTGAGATGCTTGCTTTCCTTCTTTCTGTTTCTCTGTTTCTTGTCTTCCCTCAGGTTCTTTCTCTGTGTTCCAGTCCTCGCCTGCTTGAAATTTCTTCTTTTGTTTTTCTTTATTTTCCTTTAGAGCATTCTTC